GATTTGAGCACAATAACTTCCAACGGCTACATATTCAGCTTCAACGGTTGATGTGGACACTGAGTTTTGTTTCTTACTTGTCCAACTTACCAACTTACTACCTAGAAGTCGACAGCCTTTAGTTATGCTCTTCATATCCATTTTGCATCCTACAAAATCACTATCTGGATATCCGATTAGATTGAATCCTCAGTCTTTGAGATACCAAAGACCAAGATTGGGTGTACCCTTCAGATATATGAAGATTCGCTTTACAGCGATCAAATGAGATTCTTTGGGTTCAACTTCATATCGTGCACATAAGCAAGTGAAATACATGATATCAGGTCGGCTAGCTGTCAGATACAGAAAGGAGCCGATCACTCTCCTATAGGCACTTACGTTTACAGACAAAACCAGAGGATTTTACAAACTGTAAGAAAGAATTTGTAATTTCTAAATTATAGGGACTAAATTTGTAATTTAGTAAAAATTACTAGAGTAAATTATGGATTTGATTCTTGTGGTTTGGTGGTTTTTACAAAAATGGTCCCTAAACTTCATTTATTATAGATTAGGACTCGTCATTTGCCGTTTAGTAACGAATTGGTCTCTCACTCTAATGGCCATCCAGTTCCTCCGTTAACCTTGAGGACGTTTTCTTCTTTTTCCTTTTTTCTCTTTACTCGAGGGACCAATTTCGTATAAACCACACAAACCATAGGGACCAAATCCGTAATCAAGTCTAACAACTATTTTTTTTATAATTTGAGGTTATTAAATAAAATTGAAGTCGTACCCTCCCAGGATGCACGAGTCTTCCGTTGATTGACAGAAAAATGCCGATTAAGCAATCCCCCCATCCCGATAAAGGGAATCACCCGTGATTAATTAATTATTAAACTTTAATATATATTAATTACTAATAGTTGTGTATCCATACAATGTGGCGGATTTATAAAAGGTATGATAGTCCTTTAATTTGTGGTGCGAAATCCAATTTGTGGATATGTAAGATGTTTTCTAGCATCATTATAATGAAAATATTATCATATTTTGACAATGTTAACAATTAACTTAAGATACATTAAATTGACAAAAACAATACAGGACCACTCTTAATATGAATAGCAAAATCTAAAGTCACGGATGAAGTACGAATCATAAATTCCCATAGAGGACTACTCTTCTCTGTACATCATGATTCTCAAGAACAACCTAAGATCACCTTTGAAACTAAATGATTAACACTGCCTAAAAGCAGATGAAGTACGAACCATCAATTCCTTGTATTTGATCTTAGTCTTAAGCTTGCTTCTTGTAATCCGAATCTAGAAGAAGAATGCAAAAAATAACTTTCAGTCTCTCAATGTCAAATATCCAACTATGCGTAAAAAATAAAAACAATAAAAAAAACACATAAAATCAATATTTTCAACAAAATTTGAAAACATGTCGAGAACTTGAAAATTAAAGCCGCAAAATGGATGAAAGTCGAAGGGGCCATATACCAAACGCTTACTCGGGTAAGCGCTTACCAAGTCACATTATTTTAGCGGATAAGTATGGTAGGATCAAGAACCTTACCCGATAAGTGAGAAGACAAAGACCGAGAGTCTTACCCAGTAAATGAAGATCATCAACCATCAACTTTTTTTGTGTCAATCATACATCATGACGAATATGGACTACAAACATGTGAAAAATGTTAATCACTTAATATTTCTACCATTTTGAAATCAAACCAACATTTCATATCAAGAAATATATCTGAGGATTAAAAAAAAAAGATAGATTCTACTCACTTCTTGGTGTTTTCTTCAAGCCTATGATCAGCAGTCAAAACAGATACAGGTCTAGCCGGTGTATCAAGAATGCAGCGAGAGTCTCCAACTAAAGCAATTGTCATAGGCAATCTTAAATCCATTTATTTAGTTTGCTAACTACAACTTTATAATTATTATTAATTATTAATTAGTGAGAGATTGTCTAAAAGTTCTAACATGATATTTCCATATATTATTGCTTAATTTATATAGATTAGAGTAAATAAAAGGACATAACGGTCATGATGGGATAATAGATTACATTAAATTAAAGGCATTAAATTTATGGATCCAAAACTTCTTGATGATCAATTTGCAAAAACCTAAACATTTCATGTATGTTTATCCTTCATATCATATCAAAACCCCAACTTTTAAATATAATCATTCTTTGACCTTCTTAAAGAAAGTCAATTGTTTGATTCTAAATAAGAGTTGCAGAAACCTAATGAAAGATTACAATAATAGGTCTTGTTGAGGGAGGGGGAGATATAATTCAAATGAGATACATAAAATATTTGAACCTGATATATTGAAAGAAAGTTGCTACAATCTGAATAAGCAGCAGCTACTCACATCGACTCTCACAATTTTATCAATACATCAAACAAAGCTAGCTCTACAATAGTACAATGTAAGAAAGTGAATCAGAATAGCAATTCCCAAATTTATCATGTTCATGGTATCAAATTGTACATGCTTAATTGATAAATGTTTTTTGGGCTTCATTCTCATACAAGTGGAAGATAGCTGGAGATGCTGACTTTTGATTAAAAATCTGTGATTAAATCTTTTGTTAGGATTTTTGTAAGTAACTTGTACTTTTGATGCTCTTATTGTATTTTTTTGGGTATTACCCATTGGGTAATACTTTTGTCTTTTTGTGGCATTTTTGGGTATAAAAGGAGGTGCTTGGTTTCATTTGGAGGGAGGGGCAATCTAAGATTAAAATCAGCTCTCCAAGGCTGATTTGTAGAAATATTTGGAAGAAATACAAGTTCTTGTTTAAGCTTTTCATCTTTAATTTCTTGTCTTTTAATTTCCGTTCTTTACATTACGCTCCTTTACGTTTATTGTCATTTATATTCCGCAATTTACATTTATGTCTTTACTTTTCGTCATTTATTTTCTTGTCATTTACTTTTTCGTCATTTATTTTCCGCAATTTCCATTTATGTCTTTACATTCTGTCATTTATTTTACTTGTCATTTACTTTCCGTTATGAGTAGCTAAATGTATATAGCTTGGGTGTGAGAGGGAGAGGTAAGATTTTCAAACCAAAAGAAGGTAGCTAAGTGTTATCATAAACGAAGTTCCATTGTTTCATTCGAGTTTTTATAAAACCAAGTACACTTCTTGACGGATTGATCACTTTGAAAGTGTTAAAGTGTCATGGACTYAKAAATAAGCCATTGAACGCACGTCAACTTGCATGATATAAGAGGTAGACTTTAGAAAGTTGCCGACAAGGAAACTTGTCATTTATGTCTTTCAAACTTAAYTCCCGACGGGTTGGTCACTCTTTAAAGGTGTCAAAGTGCRATAGATTCAGAAATGAACTATCGAGAACACACGCCAACTTGAATAATATGGGAATCGACTCGAAAGAGTGATTTTTAACAAAGAGATTTGTTTATCCATATATTTTGAAGACACCATCTTGTCACTTTCCCTGGTCCGAATACCACATAGAAATATGGGTTGAAAGCTATAATATTGTGCAATGGTGAAGTCCGAAAGGAATACCTTCAAAATAGATGGTGGAATTAAGTTTTGAAACACTGCTTGTTGTAGCATTCCTACAACATTGGCTACTGGAATATGCGTTTGGGTCTCACCACAAGTCTTACACCCTTGCTATCCTTATATATTCTGTTTTCTGTATTTAATTAACTGAATATCAAACTGAAGTTTTCAAAATCATCATCTGAAATCATCTATTTCATTGGATTCTCATTTAACTTTTGCAACAATCTATGTGGACGATAATCAGGTATTTTACCACTCTATTACTTGGAAAGACGATATTTGGCCATATTGTATACTTGTTTTGTGGTCCATTTCATTAGTCTAAAAGTGTGCGATATAACCAACCCGGAGCGAACAAGTATCCACTTTGATTGTAGATGCATATCCTAATTCGGTAGTATTCTACCCTATGGTAGATCTTAGGTTGGCACTTTCCATACTTGATGGGTGCAACATCATCAAATTTGTTGTTTGCAGTCCCCCTCCCTCTAATCTAAGTGTCTGGCACAACAAAGAACAACTGCTATGGAGGCTGCTACAAGGGAGAATACATAAGCGTGGAACGGGAGAAGAGGTCATCCATAAGAAGAAAGACCATCCAGGTAGCACTTGCTTACTACAGAAATGAACATAGGCTACGAACTATCAGAATCCCTAAACTTAAGCTTAGTTGAGGTTGTTGACCCTGAAGACCCTCTACCTCCACCTCTGCATTAGTTAATGCTGGTAATGAAGAAGAGAAAGATGATGAAAAAGTTGAGGATCCCAAGATCCCTGACAATGGAGCTGACTTTGATAATGATGATGAAGACGACGACGACGATGAAGATGATGATGATGATGATGATGATGATGATGATAACTTTAGCATCCAACCTATCTCCAGACATCCAATCAAAGGAATCTCCATCCAGGAGCTTTCAGCCAAGGAGGAGAGATCTTCTAACAACCAACACTTCTATTCAGGCAAGGGAAAATGATTTGTTGAAGAGAACCTAGCCCTCTTGCAAGGTGTGTTCAGCCTTCCAGAGGTAACAAATGTCTTAACCATTTTTGTTCACTCTTCGTCAGAAGCTGAACCCTTCAACCTCTTACCTCTATCTTTTCTTTCTCCCTCTCTTTCTTCAATCTTACCCCCTCCAACCATGTCTCTCTCCTCTCTGATCTCTCTCAGCCTCTCAACCCAACCTCCATTAAACCATGCAAAATAGAACTATTATTTTTTCTTATATAAAAGAATAGATAATAAATATTTTTTCATATAGTCCATAATATATACCATAACTCCGTACATCTATTTCAAATTCAATTGCCATTTATCTATAAAAGATTGGTGTGTAGGGTCAAAATATTGTAAAAAAAAACCATTGAAATTTGGTTGACTAATGGAGATGATGTTAAAATGATATCATCCTTAAAATAAATAAGAATAAGAGTCCCTAAAATGGAAGATAATAAATACATATCTCGATTTCCCACCACCCTAAACCCAAGAAAGCTACAATATCGCCATGAATGTCGAAGAAGAGGTTGAAAAACTCAAAGTAGAGATCCAACGACTTGGTACCAAGCAAGAAGATGGCTCTTACAAGGTACATTTGTTCTCCAATTTCCCCCACACACGGAGCTTATCCTAAATCTGCCTCATATTTTCGAATCCACATTTGGATTTACATGATATACTGTTCCCGCATCACACAACTGCTACGGATCTAGCTTCATTGAGCTGTGATTATGTCCGATCTGTACTGAATCGTTACCAATCTATTAGAAGCATACGACAATCTGATAATTTAGGTCAAGATCGCGTTAGTGTTAAGTAGATGTGCTGTTACTTACTCGTTCTAGCTTAACTTCGATCTTGAATTAGCCGTGATTGTTTTGGTACATGAACTTGGGATTCACCAATCTGCAAAAAAGACGGAGATCTTAAGCTTATGATTTTTGCAAAATTGATTCAGGAGAAGTTATTTGATTCAGTCAAAACATATACACTTCTAATGCAGATTCATAAGTTTCAATTCATGAAATCCCAAATTGCATCATACTCGCTAATTTCAAGCCCTACATTCTAAGAAATATGTTTATAAAATTTATTCTTCGTGCTTCTGATATCAAACTTTCCACCAAAAGAAAACAGTATTTTGTATTTCACATACTTTTTTATTTATTTCGCGGCCCGCACCGAAATAATGCTTTACCCCTAGATGTCCAGTCAACTGTTTGGAGCTTAAACTTCTACCAAACGTTGGACAAGAAGATAGAATTTTTCATCCCATTTGATGGCATTTTAAACATTTTATGGGTCTTGAGTAAGTTCTAATCTTTAATTTTAACAATGAATACCGGCTCATGAAGGTCACATTCGGTGTTCTTTTCCATGATGACAAATGTGCAAACATATTTGAAGCATTGGTTGGGACACTGAGGGCAGCCAAGAGGCGCAAATTCCTCACATATGATGGTGAACTGCTACTTCAAGGTGTTCACGATAATGTTGAAATTGTACTGAAACCCACCCCAGTAGCAGCAGCATGATTTTACCATAATCTGCTTCAGAGCTCATCAAGTTTGTATAAGCTTAAACCCTTTTTATTATCATGTATGATTGATCATAATTTGCTTCCAAAGTGATCAAGTTTGTGTTACCTTAAAACCCTGTCATCATCATCATAATCTGCTTCAAAACTCATCATGGCTGTATCAGCCTGATACCTCTTATCTGTCTTGTATAGTGGAAAGACCACCTTCTTAAGATTGTCGTTACCACTAAATTGGAATACATACTGTCAGTGTCCAGTATCTTGTACATTGTTCTTTCTGTTCTACTTATGATCCATTTATAGGTTTTATGTCATTGTGTGATAACTAGAAACCAAATTAAGGCGGGCCTCCATTGATAGTCTGAGAGAACAAGAAAGAGATGCCACTGACAGACATCTTCAATTAGGATTTGATCTAAAGGTGAAGAAGATCCTTTCTTACCCTTCTTACCGGAACCCAACCCTGTGCTTGAATTAGGTTTCATGCCCTTCAACATATATTTATACTTTTCTTCACATACGTAAATATGAAATTAAGATTAACCCCAAAAAGGTTGATGCTATAACTTGAGATGCTCGACTAGGGAAGTTAGAAAAATGGCGAGCATGGCAGAAGAAGTACAAAAACAAAGTAGAAAGGTTTACTTGACATTGATGATTTTGTTACCGAGTTCAGGTTGTATCCTGATTCAATCTCATCAAAACTGGCCGCAGAAGAACGTAATCCAGGAGAGAAGGGCCATCTCATATTCACAAATGAATAGACTTATCATTTGAGTTGAGATTCAAAGCAAATGAGCATGAGAATGATTTAGGATGCTTTCCCGATATCAATGGCCAAATTGACCAAAACTTGAATGTCTCGTTGCTTTTAACAATTTCTTTTTTTTTTTAAATTCAAAGTTGTTCTTGTGTTGATATTTGGCAAAAATATTTATATGACGATATAGTATGAGAATTTCAATAGACATACTGTACGACGAGGTTATTATTTATCTTAGAAAATTATGAACTTGTATTAGAACAAAATTACATTTTCTTGCGAGCCAATAATCAGAGAGAGAGAGAGAGCGCTTGTACACAAAGCCAAACCACCTTAATATATCTCACTCGAAGATGGGGTCTGCAAAAATAGATGCAACATGATAGGGCAATTATACTAATCAAAAGATGTTCAGCTTAACAACCGATGATATGTATTTCATCCAACTTATCTACACAAACAAAAGAAAAAAAGGCATTTTCATTGGTGTTACGCTACATATACGAAGTGTACTTCAAGGTCTTAACCGGGGTTTTACGAATCACATGGTTCTTTCCTCCACGACCGATAATTTTATGGATAGACATTGATTCTTTTTCATATACACCGAACCCACTTCAAAGAACGTGTTTTAAATGTCCTTCCATTTTGACAAATAAGATGACTTTATAGAACCCAAATAAACATCAAGTTCTGTATAAAACAATGGATATGAACCAATAAATAATCTTAACTCATAAATGAAAGGGATAATGACAAATTTAATCATTATTGAAGTTGACCAATCTCAAAATGTCTCGACTTTTTTCTAAATTAGCACAAAATAACCATTTACTTCACAAAAACCATGAACAAAAACCTCTTATGGTTATTTTGTGCTAATTTAGAAAACGTTGTTCATTTTTTGGAAATGGGTGACCATGGGATTCGCCTAGACTAATCCCATGTCAAGTCACGACTATAGGCATTGTCCACAACCTAGAGACAATCTCCATGCACATATGTAGATGACGGAACTCAAAACGAGGTTAATTTTATCATCCCTTTGACTTTATCCACCATGCTACCACTCTTGTGGTCATTATGTGATGGTCAAACTCCGATTTTGGCTATTTTTATGATTATCCCTAAAAAAGGTACGGGAGAAGTGACCAAAAAACAAGCAAAATATCCAAGCACCTGGGCAGAGTAAGCACCCAAAAAACAAACAAAATATCCAAGCATATGTCATCCGCACACTCAGGACAGTACACCAAAAGAGTATGCACCCATCTGCATAACCTCACTCATGTAAAGATTGTGACTACCAAAAGGACATATAACCACAACACAAATACATAATACATAATACCTTCACAAAGAAAAGTATGATACCCTCCTTATTGATGTTTAGAAACTTCCATGGCGACCGAAGAATGTCACGTGATGGTATTCCCATGGCTAGCTTTTGGCCACATGCTACCGTTTCTAGAGCTCTCTAAGAAACTAGCAGCAAACGGCATTAGAATCTCATTTGTTTCCACCCCAAGAAATCTAGAGAGGTTACCCTCCATTCCTGCACATCTATCAGACCTCATCAAGCTAGTAGAGATCATATTACCAACAGTGGATGGTTTACCTGACAACTGTGAGGCCACCGTTGATATCCAGCAACATGAAACACAGTATTTGAAGAAGGCATACGACAATTTACAAGCACCATTCGAGAAGCTGCTTGAAAACGACACCGCACAGTTGATTCTCATAGACTTCTCTCCATACTGGGTTCCTGAGGTTGCGGCTAAGTTTGGGGTATCTACTGCATTTTTCAGCGTGTATACTGCTGCCACTCTGGCGTATATGGGCCCACCAGATGAGTTGAGATGGGGCCATAGACGTACAACCCCAGAAGCCTTCACGGTTGCACCAGATTGGTTCACCTTCCATTCTCTTGTCTCTCACAGGCCGGATTATGCTCCAACAATGCTTCGGAACTTGCACATCCCTGATGAATCTGGTAAGTCAAGTGGTCAAAGAATAAGCACAATTATTGAAGGATGCCAGTTTGTAGCAATTCGAAGCTGTAAAGAGTTTGAAGGAGAATATATCGATCTTCTTCAAGAGCTATATAAAAAGCCAGTCCTACCAGTAGGCATATTTCCACCAGAAAGAACAACAGAGAAAGCTGTTGATTCAAGTTGGTCAAGCACTTTCAAGTGGTTAGACAGGAAAAGGCCGAAATCAGTGCTTTTTGTAGGATTTGGGAGTGAGTACAAGATGCCAATCGAACAAGTCCATGAGTTGGCCCACGGGCTTGAACTTTCTGGGATATCCTTTATATGGATTTTGCGGAAGCCGAAAGGGGTAGATAGTTTGGATCTATTGCCTTCTAATTTTGAATCCCGTGTTTTTGATAAGGGTGTTGTTTGTCTTGGTTGGGCACCCCAAATAGACATACTAGCACACCCTTCAATAGGAGGATGTCTTTTTCATTCTGGTTGGGGTTCTATTATCGAATCACTAGGATTCGGACACCCATTGATTCTCATGCCTATGGTAGCAGATCAAGGCCTCAATGCTAAACTTCTAGATGAAAAAGGACTTGGTTATGAAGTACCGAGAAATGAAGATGGTTCTTTTACCAGAGACATGGTGGCAGAATCTGTGAAGTTGGTGATGGGATCACAAGGAGAACCAATCAGAGAAAAGGCTTCTCAAATGCAATCTACTTTTTGTGACCACACTCTTCAAAAGAATTACATAAGTTCGTTTGTTCATTACTTGCAAAGGTTCAAAAGAACCGAATCCACATTGCACGAATAGGTAATGGTTATGTAATAATAAGTTTTTCCTCCTTCCCTTGCTTGAATTTAAATAATTAATATAGTTACATATGTGTTAGAGAGCAAAAAACCCATCACTAAAAGAGAAGGGAAAATGTAAAATATCAACAAAAATTGGTGCATGGTGTTACCTGTTCTTTTGCAAACCAGAAGCAAGCAAATTAATTCGAAGTTGCTCTTTAACAGTTTATCTATCTCCATATATTCTTCAATCTTCCACCCCTTTTTATAAAACAAGTCAATATCACAAGGAAGAAAAACAAAATGATTCATAACAGCTTGAACATTATAGAATACAAGGTATCACGAGAAAAGAAAGGATTTCATGTTGCGAAAATAAGACTGTAGAAGGAGAAGTACTTAAAATTCATATATCCCTTCTGTACACTAATTATGCATGATAAAAACAATTAGAAAGAACACAAAGGTATCAAGATCTTACTTCATAACCATGATTTATGGTCCGTTGAGCACCTTAAGTATCCAACTTCTAATTATCCTTTGAATTCTGCAAGAAAAAAGGAAAGGCTTTTTTTCTTTTTTAAGTATATAATATTTATATACGGCAAATAGAACAAATAAACTTACACACCCTCCTCACATTTTTTGAGGTTTGAAACCTTGACCTCCTAAGAGGCCAAAGACTCACATATCGCTAGGCCAAAGGCCTTTTGGTAAGAAAAAGGGAAAGCCTTTGAGGCAGCTTCTGACCTAACAGCTGCTTGTACAGGAGAAAGAGGGTTTGGTGGCCCATAATGATGGTCACTGAAATAAGCAGCATCAGTCAGTTCTTAACAAAGATAAAACCAAAAAAATGTTAAAATTTAAATGCATGATGTATATAAGAGATTTCAGGGCAAAAAGAACATGGTAAGCACGTAAAGTCATTAAAGCTCGTTATAAACAATAATAACAAGATTCCTGTTCTCATGATCTTGGCGTGGATAACCAAGAGGTTGATAAAAGCTGAATAGTTGGCTGAACAAATTCCTTTCAGTCAGGGAGAGAGAACACCACAGGTGCGCATGGTTCGAGTCGTTGAGTCACCCCCCCCCCCCCCCAATGATCAAACAAAAAGTGACCTAAAATTGAAAGAAAAAACTTGCTTTACAGTAACAGTCCTATCCCAGATCTCAACACCCTATCCTGCAATTACCATACACAATTGGAAATAGGGGTTAGGGGATGGAGAGAGGAAGATCGATATCAAATGGTCAGATGAACTATAACAAAGAAATAAATAAGCACATTGCCATGAAATGTTTAAGGGTGTACATTAATTAGATGCTTTCTCCTGAACACCTCCATCCTAACAAAATTAATCTTGACTTCAAGTCCAAAATGACGATGTATATAATGAAGGCAGCACTGAGATCTGCAAAAAAAATGGTTATGATGTAGAACCTCCTCCAGAACATTGGAGAGGAAAAAAGAACATTGGGAAGTGATACAGCTAATATACCTCTTTCAATGGCATTTGATGCTGAGAAGTTTAAGTACACAACAGCTTCCCAAAGAGTCTGACTTACATAACATTAACAAATCTTTTAGGTACAAATACGGTACAGTTAGAGAGTCGACACTTCCCATGCCCAAGCCTTCTCAAGCCGTGCTTTTGCTATGTTTAAGAGAAATGCACGAGATAAACCATAACAGAGATTGTAATTTCCTCTTCCCAATAACTTACAAATTCTGTTCAGCATATATACATACATCAAAAGGAATTGTGGTGCCATTATTCCTCCTTTACCCACAAAAGAACCATGATGTACACAATCCCGGGCACCAAAAAACTCCAGTATCCACCCAAAATCTAGTCTACCTCTTAATTACTGTACATACATCCAATGCAACAATGATACAAAAACCCATGGTTACATTTGTCAACCGAGTGACTATGGGAGTTACTGGATAAATGCAAGTGGCATACACTTCACTCATCCACGCATAGGGCACCATGGGAATGGCTATCATCTGACACTGCAAAAGAGCAAACCAAAACTATGATCACAAAATGCTGGATAGGATGCTGAGAGAAAAACAATTTGATGGCATTATACTTACCAACATTCTTACACATAACAGAAGTGGTATTAGATCATAATTCTTATATCATGTAAACTAGCCAATATATCCAGTGAAAATTTCCCTGCTAGAAATGCAAGCCTAATTCTCTATGTAATAAATGCATTTCTAAGATGATGTCAAAGTTTCACCTCGCGTATAAAAAGATTCAGGCATCACAATAGCTATTGACAGCACTAAAGTGACAGTTCAAACACTAATCTGATAGCAAAATCTAATAATAATGTTTCATCCTAAAACTTATAACCATTTACTTGGACACATCACCAGGTGACCATTAACTTCCAATTAGTAGTAATACAAATTGAACATTTGGTATCTATTTTTTATTAACAGAATCTTTTAGCATAGGAAATTAAGGTTTCATTTTGTTTCACCTGTTTTCCTCCCCTTCTCATCTCCATCTTAGGGTCCCATCCATCAAAAGGGGACTCATAAGCAAATAAAAATTGAAAAAAAGATGGACAAATCAAATGAAACTGATAAACCTCCTATTCGTTTCATTTACAGGAGGAGGGGTTAGTGGTTAAAGGGTCTTAGCTGTTATTGTAAATAAGTGAAGGGTATTTTTGGTACTCTTGGGTAGAATAAGGCGGCAAGTCTCCTTTAAGTGGAGCTGAGTTGTTAGTAGTTGGGTTATTCTGTTTTTGTATTTTCAAAGTGAGTGTAAACTCTTTGGGAGAGAACCAGACCTCTCGAAAGTCTGGAATATTCCATTTTCTGTTTTGATTACAATAAACAACCGACAATTGCTATCAGTTTACATCAAATTGGTATCAGAGCGGTAAGATCCAGCCATGGCGACAAGGAGTGCGGCAACGAGAATTGAAGATTTAGAAAGTAGCGTCGGTTCGATTGAGAAAAGTTTGGAACGAATTGTACAGCAGATTGAGAAATTAAACAGCGATGTGGCTAGTAAATTGAAGTAAACAGGTTCGTCGGATGGAGAAGACGTGGACGATTCAGGAAGATCGAAGAGGAGAAACGATGAAAAACATGAATCGAGTCGATTCCTAGCTGTGAAAGGCCGGAAGCTTGAAATTCCAGCATTTGACGGAAGCGATCCAGATGGTTGGGTTCTCAGAGCAGAACGCTATTTTTCATTGAATCGATTATCACAGGAAGAAAAAATTGACGTTTCTTTCATAGCATTTGAAGGAGCAGCTTTGAAATGGTTTCAATGAGAGAATAGACGTCATCCAATTTTACGTTGGGAGGATCTGCGTAGATTGATTTTGCGTCAATTCCGATCAATGGCGGTAGGAACTTTATGCGAACAGTTTTTGGCCGTTAAACAAGAAGGTACGGTGGAGGAATTTAAGATGAAATTCGTGGAGTTGGCTGCACCATTAGAAGGAATTCCAGAGGAAGTGTTTATGAGTCAACTCATAAACGGTTTGGAAAATTCAATTAAGGCAGAGGTACGTCTCTTAAGTCCAGTAACGTTGGAGGAAGCGATGGAGTTAGCAATAAAAATTGAAGTGAAGAATGTTGTGATTGAAAAAGAAAGGTCGATGTCTGGATCGAAGAAATCGTTAGCTATGTTTGCGGGTAATAGGAGTATTCCTGGTAGTACTAATTCAGGGAATAATTCTAATACGGTGGTTAATTCGACGAACAGAATGGGATTTGAATACAGAAGATTGTCCGATCAGGAGGTACAACAGAGGCGAGCCTTGGGTCTCTGTTATCCTTGCGATGAGAAATATTCACCGGGCCATAAGTGTAAGAAGAAAGAATTGAATGTTCTGTTGGTTCAGGAGGAAGATGTAATAGAGTCGGGTGACAGTAGTGATGAAAATACAGCTTTAAACGCAGCTGATGTGGTCGATGTGGGTCAAGACGTGGAGGTTCATCTTAACTCGGTGGTGGGATTAACGAATCCTAAAACCATGAAGATGGAAGGATTCATTGAAAACCAAAAGGTTGTAATTCTCATCGATAGCGGTGCGACGCACAATTTCATTTCGAAYGASATTGTTAAAAAATTRAATCTCAAGRTCGATCAGAYGAAGGAGTATACGATAAYGATGGGRACGGGGAATAAGGTGAGGGGAGATGGAATTTGTAGACATGTTATTTTGACGGTGCAAAGCTTAGACGTTGTCGAGGATTTTTTGCCCATTCAATTGGGTAATAGCGATGTGATTTTGGGTATACAATGGTTAGAAACTTTGGGATCGACCTATACCAACTGGAAGCAGCAGGTTATGAAGTTCACGGTTGGGGGAAAGTCGGTGGCATTGAAAGGTGATCCAGCATTGGGTAGATCTTTAATTTCATTGAAGGTTATGGGAAAACTAATCCAACAGGAAGGTCAAGCTATGTTAGTGGAGTTTGGGGCTTGCATGTTGACAAGTGAAGTGACTCGAGAAGTTTTACCAACGGTACAAACTGTTTTGAAAGAATTTGATCCCGTCTTTAATATGCCACCGGGTTTACCACCGATAAGAGGTAAGGAGCATGGGATTATTTTGAAAGAGGGTACGGATGCAGTTAATGTTAGGCCCTATCGCTATCCTCATTATCAGAAGGACGAGATCGAAAAGTTGGTAAAGGAGATGTTAGAAGCAGAAATTATAAGACCAAGCAGCAGCCCGTTTTCAAGTCCGGTATTGTTAAGAAAAAAGATGGCAGCTGGAGATTTTGCATCGATTATAGGGCTTTAGACAAGGCAACGGTTGTAGACAAATTTCCTATACCGGTCATAGACGAGTTGTTGGATGAGTTGCATGGTGCTCAAGTGTTTTCTAAGCTTGACCTAAAGTCAGGTTATCATCAGATACGTATGAAGGATGAAAACATTCAAAAAACGGCGTTTCGGACGCACCAAGGTCACTACGAGTTCAAGGTAATGCCCTTTGGTCTAGTAAATGCACCATCTACATTTCAAGGGTTGATGAATGAAGTTTTCAAGGATTGTTTGCGGAAGTTTGTGTTAGTTTTTTTTATGACATATTGGTTTACAGCCGATCAATGGAGGAACATCTTAACCATTTGAGACAAGTGTTTGAATTGTTGTCTCATTATAAATTGTATGCCAACAAGAAAAAATGTGAATTCGGTTGGGAGCGTTTGGGGTATTTAGGCCACGTCATTTCCAGTAAAGGAGTAGAGGTTGATGATTCTAAAATCAAGGCAATACTAGATTGGAAAGTGCCTACTACAGTGTCGGAATTAAGAGGTTTTCTGGGATTGTCGGGATATTACAGAAAGTTCGTTAGAGGATACGGAGTCATAGCTAGTCCTCTCACGGATTTGCTAAAAAAATCAATTTGGTTGGAACGAGGAGGCTCAAGTGGCTTTTGAAAAATTAAAGGAGAGTTTGTCCTCACCTCCGGTGCTTAAACTTCCTGATTTCTCGTCAGATCTTGTGGTAGAGACAGACGCTTCGGGATTTGGTTTGGGGGCTGTTTTGATGCAGAACGAACAACCGGTGGCTTATTTTAGTCAGGTGTTGGGAACGAGAGCTCGGCTGAAATCAACGTATGAGAAAGAACTTATGGCCATTGTTCTAGCTGTTAAAAAATGGAGACCGTATTTGTTGGGACGACACTTTACAGTTCGCAGCGACCAACAGAGCCTGAAATACCTGTTGGAACAGCATGTGGTGGAACCGGAATATCATAAATGGATGAGCAAGCTGATGGGATATAATCTCTCGATTGTGTATAAACAGGGAGTGCAAATAAGGTTGCCGATGCACTCTCCCGTAAGGAAGAAAGCTTGGAATGTTCGAATTTAAGTGTACCCTCATGGAGACAGTGAGAAAATCTTAAAAAAGAGTTGGAGAAAGATGAGTTCTTGATGAAAATAAAAGAAGACTTATTGGAAGATGCAGGAGCACATAAAGGGTTTGAGTTGCAGCAAGATCTGTTATTTTTTAAAGGCAGATTGGTGATTCCGAGAAAATCAGAAATTACCTCCTTATTATTCGAAGAATTCCATGCGTCTCCCATTGGTGGTCATAATGGAGAAGAAAGAACATACCAAAGAATGGCGGCAGAATTATTCTGGGTAGGCATGAGAAAGGATGTGTCAAATATGGTGAAAGAATGTGAAACGTGCCAAAGAAACAAAGTGTTAAGTGGGTCTCCGTCGGGTCTGCTACAACCATTATCACTTCCGAGTATGGTATGGAATGATATCTCCATGGATTTCATTGAGGGATTGCCTAATTCGGGAGGAATGAACTCTATTATGGTGGTGGTCGATACTCGATAGGTTCAGCAAGTATGCACACTTTGTGGGACTGAAGCATCCATTTACAGCTCAATCCGTAGCCGAGGTTTTTGTCAAAGAAATTGTACGCTTGCATGGCATACCAAGTTCTATAATTTTTTATCGTGATAAAGTGTTTCAAAGTATATTTTGGAAAGAGTTATTCAAGCTGCAAGGAACAACTTTGAAGTTCAACACCGCCTACCACCCGCAGACGGATGGACAAACAGAAGTTGTCAATAGGAGGCTGGTACAATACAACTTTTCATACAGCCCTTAAATGTTCTCCTTTCAAGGTGTTATATGGCCGAGATCCACCCCCTTTGTTGAGATATAAGAGTTCCTCTTCTATAGTCCAATCGGTAGATATCGAATTGATGAATCGGGATGAAATATGGGATGAAGTGAGAATGCATCTTTTGAAAGCCCAATGTAGAATGAAGCAACGTGCCGATTTAAAAAGAACAGAGCTGAATTTGGTTTTGGGTGAGTGGGTGTTCTTGAAATTGAGACCGTACCGACATAAATCATTGGTTAAAGGGAACAGCCCAAAATTGTTAGCAAGGTTCTATTGTCCTTATAAAGTGTTGGAGAAGATTGGTAAAGTCGCTTATCGTTTGGATTTACCAAAGGAGGCGAAGATACATCCTGTTTTCCATGTATCTCAACTTCGA